CACTGTCCCTCAGCTCTTCAGTTCAAGGCTAGCGCTCTAACACTTGAGCCACAGTGCCACTTCAAGTTTTCTGAGTGGTTTATTGGAGATAAGTATCTCATGGATACTTACAGGGTGTCTTGAGACTCTTATCTCCAATTAACCACCAGAAAATTGGAAGTGGCACTGTGGCTTAAGTGGTAGAGTGCTGGCCTTTAGCTGAAGAGGTCAGGGACAGAGCCCAGGCCCGACCAAAAAAAAAAAAAAAGTTCTTGTAGGTATATCATGGAACAAAGTCCTTAGCTAGCATGGCGCTTATACAGTTTCTGACAAGATCAGAGAGCCACATAGGCTGGCCTAAGGGCTCTAACTCATTCAGAAGAATATTCATTTGCTGTGTCAGGCCACGGGAGGAAAGAGATCTGTACAAAGGGTAAGCAATACTTCTGATCTGCTGCAAAGTTATGGTGCACTTTTACTTCTCATATCCTTTATCATAAAATGGAAGATGGGCTGGGAAGGTGGCTCAGTGGCAGAGCACTTGCCTTGCATGCATGAGACCCTGGGTTCGATTCCTTAGCACCACATAAGCAGAAGAAAAAAAAAGCTGCAAGTGGCGCTGTGGCTCTAGTGGTAGAGCGCTAGCTAGTCTTGAGCTGAAAAGTTAAGGGACAGCGCCTAGGCCCAGAGTTCAGGCCCACTACCGAATCCAAAAAAAATAAATAAATAAAATAAAATGGAAGAGAACTGCATCTGCATAGTTCTACTTGTACAGTTCTTAGGCTGAAAGTCATTTTAATTAGTCTATTAGTACTTTTGGCATGACAATGGGAAGGGAGGTTATAGTGCTTTTCTTCAGATTTCCTCTAAATCCAGCAATGACTTAGAACTGTTTTCAGTTTTCACTCAACTGTGTAAGTAAACTATTTCTTACAATGGCTGGAAATCAAAGGTTATAGACTGAACATGAAGACTATACCTTCATGTAAAACGTACTGACTATGAGCCAAGACTGACAAGACTACGAACAGAGATAAATCCAAATGGTTCTTCCTTCAGAACTCACAACCCACTGGATTTCAAAATATAGCAAGGAAGTGGCACTGTAGCTGAAGTGGTAGAGCGCTTGCCTTGAGCTGAAGAGCTGAAGGACAGCGCCCAGGCCCAGAGTTCAAGCCCCACGACCAACAAAAAAAAAAAAAAAGAAAACAAAATATGGCAAATAAAGTAAAACCTGTCCTCACTGCTATCATCCAGTTCTCAGCACTTTGTTCTGCTCTAAAGGCTACATGATTTCCTAGATGCATACCTTAGTACTGTAAGAGCACATATCTAATCTCTAATCCAATGTAAAAATAAGAATTTAATTTTAACTCTCTACCCAGGAGTCTATTGAATATTGCACACCATGAATAAACCAAAGAGCCCTTCTCCTGCACCACACCTACTATAAGAAAAGGTGTGTTGTATTTATAAAGTGATACCCTTTCAGACTTTGTTCTATGGTACAACTCCAGGAACATTTTTATGACTTCATAAGCCAGTAAGATCAGAAGAATGTGAAAGGCTGACAGGTTGATGGACATGGACAGCACTGCAAATTAGAAGGCCAAAGAACAAGGATGTGATACTTGGAAATTCTTAACATGGTAATAATAAATCATGCATACCAATGAGAATCAACTCTACAAAATTCTAATAAAAATGGTGGCCTGGCGGCCACCAAGTTTTTAAGCTTGCCACAAAACACTGCTATCTTTTATATCTTGTCAATGTTCATCCTTCTAATTTGGGGTTACTTTTTAAGGTATTTTTTTCTTTCTTTTTTTTGTCAGTCATGGGGCTTGAACTCTGGGCCTGAGCACTGTTCCTTAGCTCTTCAGCTCAAGGCTAGCACTCTTCCACTTGAGCCATAGCACCACTTCGGGTTTTCTGAGTAGTTTATTGGAGATAAAAGTCTCATGGACTTTCCTGCCCCGGCTGACTTTGAACAGTGATCCTCAGATCTCAGCTAGGATTACAGGCTTGAGCCACTGGAACCCAGCTACTTTTTAAGATATTTCTTACTTCACTCCCTAGACAAAGTTAAGTATATTTGCTATTTATTCCTTATGCTTCATCTTATTGCTCTAGCTAGGAATTCCAGAACTATATTGAAGCGGAGTGGAGACAGCGGCCATCTTTGCATTGTTCCTGATTTTAAAGAAATGGTTTTAGTTTTTCATCATTCAGTATGATAATGGCTATTGGTCTGTCATATATAGCCTTTATTAATTTGAGGTATTTTCTATTCATAGCTTCTCCAGAGCTTTTTTTTTTTTGGGTCCGGTCGTGGGGCCTGAACTCTGGGCCTGGGTGCTGTCCCTCAGCTCTTCAGCTCAAGGCTAGCGCTCTACCACTTGTGCCACAGCGCCACTTCCGGCTTTTTTCTGTTTGCTTATGTGGTGCTGAGGAATCGAACCCAGGGCTTTGAGCATGCAAGGCAAGTGCTCTACCACTGAGCCACCTTCCCAGCCCTCTCCAGAGTTTTTTAACATGAATGAATGTTGGGTTTTGTCAAAGGCTTTTTCTGTCTCTATGGAGATGATCATGTGGTTCTTGTCTTTGGCTCTATTGTTGTATTACATTTATTGATTTATATGTTAAACCAGCCTTGCCTTTTGCTTCATCTTAACTAGTAGTTACTATACCTTTAATTATTAGGTTAATATCTCACTTTTCCCACACTACATATTTTTACTCATTGTTTACTTTTTAGAAGTATTGGGGGATTTGAGCTTAGAGCCCTCATATATGATAGGCTGATTGGATACTTTTCAGTCACACTTTCAGCCCTATTTTTCACTGGTTATTTTTAGGGTAGAGTTTCCTTCTCCCTCAGCTTGAGCCATCATCCACTACTGTAGGCTTCTGTGGAGGGATCCCAGAACAGATACTGTGTCCAACTTCCTTCCATGGAGATGGGAGTCCTGCATCTGCAGGACTGTTTGTGGGAACAGACTGTGTGGCCTGGCTCCACAATTCTACCAATCTTAGCCTCCCACATAACTTGGGATAACAATGTATACACCACTGCTCCCAGATATGGGTTAAGGGGGTCTCTCTGACTCTTCTATCCAGGCTGGTCTGGAACTACAATCCTCCTGTTCTCAGTCTTCCAAGCAGCTATGATTACAGGTATGAGCCACTTTTGACTAGCCACACTACAGACTTTGAGAGGAATTATCCACTATGTATGTTGTCATCTAAATGACTGACATTCAAGATAGGCCCAGAACCAATGAATAATGCCACAACCCTTGAATGATTTTCTGGACTATGCCTATAGAATTTCTTGGCCTTATGTTACAGAACCTTTATAAATCCCATATGTAATTCTGTCCTTGTCAGAAATAACTCTCTCCATTTGCCTTTGGATAAAACTGAAAAGAGACAACTCTCTGAGCAAACCTGCATGGTTTTCTACCATGGCTTTATATTTTTCAAAATCATGTAAATACTAAAGAGAAATTAACTCTTGAATTTTTTTAATGAAGATCTTTCACTAACTATATGATCAATATTTTGGATTATAGGAGTTGGGCTTCCTTAAGGGCATTTTTGAAAGGAAAACAAAACATACCAACTATATCTTCTGAATATTCTCACCATGCACAGGAACACATTCTTTTTCTGTGTGTGCAGTTCCAGGAGCTTGAATTTGGGGCCTGGACACTGTCCCTAAATTTTTTTGTTCAAGGTTAGTGCTTTACTGCTTAGCCATGGCTCCACTTCTGGCTTTTGGGGGTGACTAATTGGAGATAAAAGTCCTATAGACTTTTCTTCCTGGGCTGGCTTTGAACGTTGATCCTCAGATCTCAGCCTCCTAAATGAGGAGCTAGGATTAATGGTGTGAAACATTTCAAAAGCCTCTGGTCTTAAGTAAACACGACTTTTCCATGACAATTACTTGTTGATTTATTGCTTTATGTAACTCACCTTTCACTGACTGACCATTCCACATGGCTTACTCATTTTCACAAATTAAACAAACTTTTTGTCATAACACTGTTGATTTGAAATAGGCTCTCAGGGAGAGGCAGTGAAATAGTTAAAAAAAAAAAAAGTCAACATACAGGGATAGTCCCAGTTTTCCCAATGACATGATTCATTTGATTCATTCTGAATTAATTTTTCCTCACTCTTAAAACAGGTATTCAGAGGCAAAGCTTTGATTATGAGCTGAACAATTTTAGGTCTATAAGAATTTGTGTGTGTGTGTGTGTGTGTGTGTGTGTGTACTGGAGCTCAAATTCTGGACTTCCTGCATACATGTCAAAGCTGGTGCTCGACTACCTGAACGACACCTCTTCCGAGTTTTTGCTGGCTAATTGGAGATAAGTGTCATATTTATCTGTATGGGCTGGCTTCTAAGTACCTAGGGTTATAGGCATGAGCCACCAGCGCCCAGCTTCATAGGGTTCAAACGAGACTAAAGCGGGTTTTTTTTTTCTCCAAGCAGGTTCTTTAAGGGTCTAAAACCAAGTGATTTGGAAAAGCTAATGCTTTTTAGAGATGAGAATGGCTTGTGGAGTGTAAGTCTCTCCAGTATATGTTACTCTCCGCCATAGATTTGTAAAGTGCTCTGTGCACGGATCAGTAAAACAGCGGTTTTCACCGTCTCTCCCCTGATCCTTGAATATCCTTTCTCTGAAAGGGTCCTAGAGCAACTGAAATCTGTCATCTGCATACATTTGTCTGGACTACAATATACGAAGATACCTTGGCTTTTCCAGCTCTCCAGAGCAACGACAGCCTAAACTCTCCACACCTCTAACAAGGGTTAAAAAGGTAACAGGGAAAGCCTGAAGAACAAATCCGATGCACCCCAAATGGGTCGCGGCAACCCCCCACGCTTCCACTTTAAGTACCTGTGGGCCCTACGGGTTCCAACTTGGCCTCCCCATAGCAACCGCCCACCTCTTCACGCCTTTTGGGGACGCCGCCCCGCCCGGGTCCCCTCGTCACTCGAGCTCTCTGACCTCCTCGAACTGCTCTCCGGAGCAGCCAGCGCCGCGCGCCTCCAGCAGCTCCCGGAACTGTTCCAGGGTGACGGACTCCTCGCCGCGGCCCAGCCGCTCCTCCAGCCAGCGCAGCAGCGCGCCGTGGTGCCGTGACACCAGCGACTCGCAGGGCGGCGTGGGCCGCAGTGCCGCGGCTGCTTCCCGCAGCCGGGCTGGTTCCAGCAG